ACACCATTTTGTTCAGGAGTATATGGACAGGATTTTTGGTGAAGAATCCCCAAGTTTTGTAAAAACAACCCAAACTTTTTATTGACATATTCCCGCCCATTATCTGTGCGAAAGAGTTTAAGGTGCGCATTGAACTGAGTACGAACCATGGATTGAAAACTTTGAAAAGCATCAAACGCATCAGATTTATTTTTAAGAGGGTACAACCAACAGAATTTAGTATAATCATCAATAAAATTAATGTAAAAATGATATCCCCCAAAAGAGGGTACAGAAGTAGGTCCCCATACATCAGAATGAATAAGTTCAAACGGAGCAGATGTTTTAGTATCTGACACTGGGAAGGGGAGTTTATGGGACTTAGCAAGAGAACATGCATTACAATGATCAAGCTGTTGAAATTTAAACCCCAATTGAGACAATAAGGACTGAGTAACTTGAACTGAGGGATGACCAAGACGGCAGTGCCATTGATACGGAGTGACTTTGACGGAGTTGACCACCAGAGATGAACTGGATGCCGGTATGGAGTACAGGCCACGCTCACAAGGGCCCTTGAAAAGAACTTGATTGGTTAGGTTGTCCCGAATCGTAAAATCCTTAGAGGTAAAAAGAAGAGAGCAGTTATTATCTTTAGTAAATTGGTGAACAGAAAGGAGATGAGAATTAATGTGAGGAGAATGAAGGAGATTGGATAGGTGAAAATTATGATGGGGTGTGGTTAATATACCTGAGCCTGTATGATCAATAGGATATGTGTTACCTCCCGCAGTTGTGATGGAGTTGGTGCCATGATATGGTGACATAGAATTCAGTCGAGATAGATCAGACGTCACATGAGTGTTTGCGCCAGTGTCCAGGTGCCAGTTCGAACCAGACTCAGCGGATTGATTTGCATAATATGCCTGCGGTGGACCAGTGTATGATTCGTCGTAGCGGTGCCAACAATTCCAGACCGCATGGCTAGGTTTCCCACACAACTGGCAGGTAACGGACACCCCTCGGCCACCTCCTCTGCCGCGGGTGTCGTCACGGTACTGCGGCTGCCGTCCTCCTCTGCCGCCGGGTTGACTGCCGCGGTAAGGCCCTCCTCGGCCTCGCGGTGGTCCTCGACCACGACCTCTACCATTGCCTCGTTCGGAATTAGTGAAAAGAGCATTATGAATGTCAACGGACGAAGTAGAGCCGGAGTCACCCAGAGATAATTTCTTCTCAAAAGATAAGTTCAATTCTTCGAACAGCAACCAAGAGGAGACCTGATTAAACGTGACAGTGGCAATATTGGTGCGAATATTTTGCTTGAGGGAGGCATAGTCAGCCGGTAGACCACGAAGAACACAGAGAATAACATCTTGTTCAGAAATTTCTTCATGAGCCAGTTTGAGAGACGACACAATCGTGAGAACAGTGTCCAAATAGGATTGCATCGAATCGGTCCCTTTTGTAACACCATGTAATCGCTCCTTCAGTT